CGCCATATTGACAATCAACCCGTTTTCACCCCCACCAGCACACGACCACTCTTCTGTACGTACTTTGTTTATTTTGTTCATCTGTAAGACACATAGAATACAGCAGTGTTGCGTAGTTCTTTTGCTACAAATGAAAAAAAAAATCTGCTAGTCATTAGTATGATCTGCAGGTATCCATAGGAGATGGCGACTCTTTGTTGTGATGACATTTACGGAGACGTCTGCTCCCATTGGGCACCACAGTTTTCTAAAGTGGAAGTCAGCAGATATGTTTTTTTAAGTCATTTTAGATGAATATTGCGACTTAAAATGTTCAAATTATAACATAATGATTCATTCGTGTCATAGATTATACCTATATAGCAGACACAAGCACAATAGACCTTCTTTAAAGCTAAAATGTGAAAGAAAAACAAAAAAAAACATTCAATCACATGTTTCAACACCTTTCTGTTGACATAATAATAATCATAATAACAGCCTCGAGATACATTTTTTTTGTTATTTCCACCTCTGAGACTAGTTTACCAAACAAGAAACTTAACTATGACCAACCCTTATTTTTACAACAATGAGAATAGAACATATAAATACATGAGATAAGGCTCCTGTGTACGTAATCATGATGTGGCGCTGGGTGTGTGTTTACAGAGTCCTCATAAAAGTGTACAACTCATTTTTCATGCATCCCTGTTACTAAGAGACAAAACCATTAGTAATACCAGGATGTGTACTTAGTGGGAGAAATATCACAGTACAGACTTACTGTTCTGGGTGTGAAGTTTTCTAAGGATTTTATCAGAACAATAAGGGCAAGTCTAAAATAAGAAGTACTTATTGTAAACGTAACTGTATTAGGTAATTCAATACACTGTTTAAAGTAATAATAAGCACAAGGAAGTACAGATTTTGGACAACAAACAGTATTTTTATAACTTGAGTTTTTTTAAGTTTCGCAGTGAAGCACTTACTGCATGACATCACAAGGTGGAATAGAGTTTTCAGTTTGAGAGAAGAGCTCAGCCTAAATATGCAGGGTTTGCATGTTAAAAAAATGTGAGAATGAAACAAAACACAATTCCAGGTATGTTTGAAATGAGGAAACAACATTATAACATAGATCAGAAAATAGCGTAATACAGGCCCTTTAATTTCAAATATTGTTAAATTAATTGAGTGACTGTTAGTGACCATTAAAGGTGACTGAATCATAATGCATTTGTCTGTGTATTCAGAAAGTGGATATAAAAGGATCTTGAATGCAGAGGCTCACAGTTCATGGTAAAGCCCCCTCCTGTGACTCCACGCTCTGGGACTTCCTGTTTGAGGCTATAAACGCTAAATGAGGACAAACTTAACCAGGAACAGACTTCAGCACAGCAAGAAGAATATGACACACCTTTTTTATGGATTAATGACAGATTATAATAGCAATTTTGAATCACATGCAGCTATAGAGTACAAGGGAAAAACAATTTGCATGCCAATTTGTATTTATATTCATATCACAAAGGTCACAGTTATTCAGGTAACATTTCTTGGGTATATTTATGTCTGAGTCCTGATGGTCTTATTGTCTATAAAACCTGTTACAAAAATGCTCCTAAATTCTTTGAGGTTACATTATTTGTCATCTCTCAAATAAATGGAATTGTCTATATTATAAGATCTCAAATCACACTTGTAATATATAAGGCTAGATATATTTTTTTCCTGACTTATTCAGGTCAACAAGCCAATCTATCATTTGTATTTGTCCTAAGAACAGACATAAATATTTTGTAACATTGAGTAGGGTTGTCAATAAAATGGATACTTAGGAATCGTGCACACGAGAAAAATGATCTTGTGTTTACATTTGGATTGTACAAAAAAGGGTTACGCGTCTTGCAGTTCTGAAAGCAGCACTAGAATCTAAACAAAAATATAAAGTCAAATAATTGTGGACCCAATCTCGTTTCTCATCTCATCTTGTGGAAATTGTGTCTTGTCCCACTCCTACTCAGGCTACGTTTATATGATGACGGTCTGAACAGAAGACGCAAAAGTGGCGTTGTGTCTTCACTTTTTATTCCGTGTTTAGATGAGTGTTTTCGGGAGGAAATCTGCGTGCATATGGTGATGCAAAAGTGTGTGGTATTTGAGTTTGGGTATATTTGCCGTCTGGCTCTCCTGCGACGAATTGGTGCATCCAGAATTTGACAGAGATTCTGTTCACTAATAGTATCTGCATATTGTGTACATTTGTTAGGATGCCTCTTGTAAGTTTATTAGAGCTGTCAGAGTAGCTTGAAGGTCAGACACATAAAATATTTTGTTGTTTTTACCCGCAAGCGTTCTTTTGTTCTTTTTAAACCCAATGAATGAAAGTCGGCTATTTTGAAAGAAATAGACAGTAGACGTACAGGTAAAGCTAATTTTTCATGTTTTTGTCTCAGTATAAGAATAACAAAGATGACATGAAAGGGAAGCACTTCAAGCTGAAGTTTTTATTGACTCGGCTTTTGTCCACTTTTACCTCATCATTCATGAAGCTTTGTTTACGCTGTGTTAAGAGTTAGCGGGCTCTGAGTATTTCCACAAACGCATTATTGAGCCATTAGCCTGTGAAGTGCTCTTTTGAACATTCACATCCACTCATCAATGACGCTTTCTTTTAGTTTTTTTTTCACAAGACAGCAAACCTTACACAACTCACTCTTTGTTTGGTCAGAGAATCTTTAAGTGTGAACAATGACGGGATTACAGTAAAAGGAAAAGCTTTAACTATTTTACTGGAATATTTAGAAGGATTATATTACTATAGTAATATGAGGTGTGGTACAGTCAAGATTTCACCCTCTGACTATATAGTTGCCAGTTCAACTCAGTGACACTTTCTTTTCGTTTTTTTTTTTTCACAAGACAGCAAACATTACACAACTCAGAGAATCTTTAAGTGTGAACATTGACGGGACTACAGTAAAAGGAAAAAGCTTTTAATTATTTTACCAGAATATTTAGAAGAAGTGTTATAGAGGTAATTGTTGGGGAAATAGTGGTACAGTCTGCCCTTTGACTATAAGGTGGCCGGTTCAAATCCTGACAAAGCACTTACTTTTGGTCTCTGGACAAGACACTTAAGCATGATCTATTCCAAGCAAAGAATGAGCATCTGGTATAAAATCACCAGGCTGTTTCAACAATGATAATAGTTGAGTAACGCCTCATATAAGGTACACATTAACAAAACAGACTGTACTGTTGCTGCTTATCAGATTGTCAAATGAATCCAATACTCTACCACTATATCACTTTAAGTACAGTATGATCACTGCTACTATGAAGGTGATAAATTATATTATTGTGGAACTTGATAAGAAACAGTCTGTGCTTCACTTTTTATTTTTCTGTTAAAAGCTTTTGATACCTTTGACCATTCTGTTATAAAATACCAACTATTTTGCCAGTTGCATGTTTCTCAGATTATTTCTATCTCTGCAGGGCTCTGTTTTGGGGCCACTGCTATTTATAATTGACATCAATGTCTTAAAGGTTTAAATGTCTCTGACGCCCTGGATCATCTCTTGCTCAGGCCATTGAATCCTTGCAGAAAGTTTTTGTTGCTGTTAAGCATTCACTTCTTCAGTTAAAACTGGTCCTCAGTGCTGATAACAAGACTAAGCTAATTTTGTTTTCCAACGTTAAGAAGGTGCCTCAAACTATTCCAATAGTGTCCACTCTTGGAAGGAATGTCACAGAGGTGATTCATGAATATAAGTACGTTGGTGTCTTGATCGATGACTTCAATTTTAAATCACACATTTAAATTGTGTTTCTTCTTTCGTAATAAGATGTGTTTTTCTTTTGAAGTAAAAAAAAAAAGAGTGTCACTGCAATGTTCTTAACTATAATAGACTATGGTGATTTTATTTTTTTTTTAATATGAAATCATCCTCTTCATACCTTCAGATGATCGACACTTCTTATCAGGTTTCACTGATAAAGAGCTATGATGCATCACTGTGACTTATGTTCATCTAGTGCATCTAGGAGGCAGGGCGTAGGTATACTTTTATTTACAAGGTTATGCTCAGACTACTGCCTCCCTACATCTGTACTTTAATCACATTTATGGTTCAATACATAGAAGCTGGAGCAATATACTATTTTGGAGCTCAATATTTATCGTGGATACATTTTCTTTGTAAGAGTGGGAGTTTTGGCTATTTTTCTTGTAATACAATAAGATTTGAGCTGCAGAGGGTTGAATAAGTCACTTGATATATATTTTTTGCAGCTCAGGCCTTTTAGTGATACTGTCTGTTTAAAAAAGGTGGTACTGGGATTATTCTGCTTTATTTTAATTGTATCAATGGCATAAAGTAGTTTCAGTATTATCGTTTATCGCAGTATATCTGTGTACCAATATATCGTGCTTTAAAACGTGTTATCATGAGAGGCCTAGATGTTGCTTTCTGTTCCTTATGCCCACACAGAGCTGGGTAAGAAAGCCTTTGTTCACTCAGCTCCTTTTGCCTGGAACAAAAGAAAGATTGAAAAGTGACTCAGCTCTTGCCCTTAAATGTTTTTAAATCAAAGGTGAAAGCGTCAGAGATTGCCTCAGTACTGCACACTTGTTTTGCCATTTTATTGTTGCCTGTTTGTTGTTACTATGTAGTTGCTGATTCTCGGCCAGGAGATTTTTTCCTGATTAAATAAAGGTTAAATAAAATAAAGAGCCATCATCATTTTTGCTCCGTAAATGTGCTAAAACATTTAAAATGAGAATATGCCATAAAGTTAACCACAAAGTAACCAAGGACAAATTATTAGTGATTAAAGTGATTATTTGAAAGATTACACACTTTTAATCCACTTTCAGCCTTCTCACTAGTGTTTATTATGCTAAATTTGACTATTAAGTACATAATGTCACTTTGAAAGAAAGGTATGATGTATTTTGCTTGTAGATCGGCAAAAAAAAATTACATATAGTTATTTTTTGTTTATCACTGCAGGAATATCCGCAACCACCTACGGGACCACCACTACGAGCCAAGATTCAACCAACGCAACTGTTACATTTTTACCCGCCTCCACTACACCGCTGAGGGGAGACACTACCTTTCTCGCCACGACCAAGAGGACTACCCAAACTTCTGACAACTCAACCACAATCGGTCAAGATGCAACCTCCACAACTGCCAATAATTCTAGTCCAGAGACAAGCCAGACCACCTTAAATAATGGGAATTCAAGTACGATTGTTACGACAGGTCAAAGTACAACACAGCTGACCACAAACAATGACAAAACCACCAATGGAACACATACTACTACTACTGCTACTACTACTACTACTACTACTACTACTAATACTACTTCTGAATCACCCAGCACTCAATCCGCAACAGTTACACAGCCAGAAAATGCTACCACTACAGTAGACAGAAATGCAACTGTAACTACAGCTTCTATGGCAGCGACTACGGAAGTAACAAATAGTACTTCTACCACTGCTACTACTACTCATAGTTCAACTTCAAATGCCACTACACCACAAAATCACACTGCGTTGAGTACTCCAGTTACAAATTCAAGTGCTATGACAGAGTTGACTACTGTTATGGCCACTAGCACTGCCATTGGAAATCACTCAACAACACATTTTACTACTATTAGCACACAAAGTACAAGCGAAAGTAATGTTACTACTATTACTACTACCGTTACTTCAGGCCCAAATAATACTGCACATACTACATTGATGGGAACTATGCCAAATACTGCAAATCAGACAACCACTCAGTCTCACAATTTCACCACAATGAGTACACATAGTACAAGCCCTGACAATAATATTACTACTACTATTACTGCAGGACCAACACACAGTACTACAACCTCAAGCACTGCAAATCAGACAATTTCGGTCACACAGCCTCATAACTTTACTACATTGAGTACACAAACAAGCCCAGGTAACATTACTACTACTGTTACTACAACCCCCAACATTACTGAACATACTACTTTAATGGGAACAACGCCAAATACTTCAAATTTGACAACTACGATCACCCTTCCAAGTCCTGGAAATAATACAGCTACTTCAAATAATACACAAGCAACTACTACTACTTCCATAGCTCCCAGTACTACCACTGGAAATCACTCAACAACGGAATTTACTACATTCAGTTCTCATAGTACTAGTAATGGCAATATCACAACCTCAACTACCCCAAATACATCAAATCACACAACCACTGGGAATGTTTCTACAATTACTACACAAAGTACAAGCCCAAGTAATTATACTACTACAATTACTACAAGCCATTCTGAAAGTACGTCTATGGCACTAACTACTACTCCTCTAAACCAGTCCACCACATCTGTCACCCAACCGAACAATGTTACCACTACCACTACTACTAACACTAATACTACTACTACTGCTTCACTGATCACAACTGCAACTACGGGAAATCACACTACTTTGGCAGTCAGTACACCAACTAACTCAGGAAATAGTACTACAACTATAGGTAATACCACAGCTTCACCAACTACAAGCCTCAATGCTACAACTACAAGTCCGACAACTGCAGTACCTAGCACTGTCCTTACAACTACTTCAAATGGATCCACACCCTCTCCACCCACTACTACCAATACTAATACCACTACTACTACTGCTACCACTACTACTACCAATACAACTACCACCCTTTCTCCAGTCATTACTACTAATACTACTACCAATGCTACTACTACTACCCCTTCTCCAGTGTCTACTACTACTTCAAATACTACTACTACTACCCCTTCTCCAGTGTCTACTACTACTTCAAATACTACTACTACTACTACCCCTTCTCCAGTGTCTGCTACTACTTCAAATACTACTACTACTACTACTACCCCTTCTCCAGTGTCTACTACTACTTCAAATACTACTACTATTGCTACTACCCCTTCTCCAGTGTCTACTACTACTTCAAATACTACTACTACTGCTACTACCCCTTCTCCAGTGCCTACTACTACTTCAAATACTACTACTACTACCCCTTCTCCAGTGTCTACTACTACTTCAAATACTACTACTACTACTACCCCTTCTCCAGTGTCTACTACTACTTCAAATACTACTACTACTACTACTACCCCTTCTCCAGTGCTTACTACTACTTCAAATACTACTACTACTACTACTACCCCTTCTTCAGTCACCACCCCAGGCAATAGCACCATAAACCCTACCGGAAGTACCACCAACCCTAGTCCCTCAGCAACAACCTCTGGAGGTAGGACCAACTCTTTGATCCCTATAGACATTTCTGTATTAAAAGGAAGACAATGTGTAAACCTATGTTAGAGTAGTACAAGTGTAAAAGTGGCTATTCAAACTCAATTCAGTTTGAATGATTTGTAAGTTGTCATTGTATTTAGTGGCAGTACCAAATCTAGGTAGGCCTGTCGTGATACTAAGTACTATACTGAGTTATTGTTCAGTATGTGTTATGGACAGTAGGGAACCAAGTAAAAGTAGTAAAGTACAGTAATTAAGTCAAATGTGTAAGTATCTGTACTTTACTTAAGTACATTTTACAGTGGATGAGTATTACTTTTACTTCACTACATTCGAGACCTGGTATCTGTACTTTCTACTCCACTACATTTTTGAACAGGACTGAAAACTAAAAGTATTTTTTGTACATTATTGTTTAAGACCTGCTGAAAAGGCTGAAGGGTTTATTTTTCACATTCATAATTTGAGCAGACAAAAGTATAAAAATACGAACGAAGACCTCAAAATCTGTGTGAAATACTTTTTACTATAAGTATATTTTTAAACAGGTATTTTAATACGTTTACTTGAGAAGATTTTTTTTTTAATATGGTACTTTTACTTTTACTTTAGTATTTCTCTCCTCTGGTTTCATTACTTCAGTAACAAAATTGAGTACTTCTTCCACCTCTGATTATGGAACAATATTTTTTTTGTACTACGATGAGATTTCAGCTGTAGAGGGTTGAATAAATGACTTCTCTGACACATTATAGATACAGATTAACTAAGTAATTTTCAGCTATTTATTTATTGAACATAAGGGTTATTATGTCAGTTTCAGTATTATTATCTATATTTTCTTCAGCTTTGTATTGTACTTCAAAATATGTTATCATGACAGGCCTAAACTAGACAATGAAATTGCAAATGTTATAAGTTGGTTATCATGGAAAATGCAAAAACCTAAAACATATACCCAATTGTCTCCATTTTAATATTCAGCAGTATAGCTACTTAGCCTGTCTAGCCATTATTTGCATGCAGCCTATTTTTAAAGGTGCACTGTGTAACTGGCTTGTTTCCATGGAAATGTTATTGCTTTGTCTGGAATGTTCTGGTATGGCTTTAAATGTATCCATCTTGCATTTATTCAAGAACATGGATTTGTTTTGACCTAAAAAGCTTCTTCTTTTTGTGGGCTCGCATTCACGCAGATCTGACATATAACTTGGCCCAGAGGTGTCAACTACTGTTTCTTTAAGTGATACATAATTGTAATGCCATACTGTGGAACATTCCTGGCAACATCTCCATGGCAGATGATGGATCCTCTACCAGAAGAGTTACACAATGCACCTTTAAATTTCAAGCAAAGCATTGATTACTACCAGTGGCTAAGAAGTCAAACCAAAAAAACTAAAAATTTGATGACAGAAAAACATTTGGTCTCATAGATTTTCAAAAATCCACTGAAAATGACATTGGCTAGTCGGGCTAACAGCTAATAGTAGTTTCAACCACCTTTTCATTGTTAAGATGATAATTGCTGTTACTACTTCCTTGTATTGTATTTTTAGCTTCATATATACTATACTCATTAGAATATGTATTTCCTCAGTGGCCTCCAGTACTGTAGTAACCACTAATTCAACATCAACACGCACGACTATTACCCCGGCAACAGAGACCACTGTGACTACTGGTACAACCACCCAGTCAACTACAGGGGGCAGCACCGGCACCACTGCAGCTCCAGCTATATGTATGTGGAAATCTACAGCTTACCGGATCATGCTTTTTCAATTACAGGGTTCAAATTAAGAATTGAAGTTTGGATGATTTATTATAGAGCAAAAATCTAATTTGGGTATTTGTTTTTGCCTATAGGAAAATAAATAAATACAGGCATCAAACTTGAACAGTCTTGATTTAGTGTACAGAGCGTATTCAAGGAAAATATATATATTATTCTAAGTGGACAAAAATTCAGAAAAAAATAAAAATAATAATAATAATAAATAGATAATAATAATATCCAAAACTAATAATTCATGTTTGCATACAGTTTGTCCGGGGAAGCCGTGCCCAGCTGAAAGTGTCTGTCTCAATGGCACCTGTGCCTGTATCTCTGGCAGATACTTAAACAACGGGCAATGTGTGAAAGGTAAGAAGAAATAAAGGGCCTATATTACGTAAAATTGACTCCTGTGAGCTTTCAGGCATGTTATAATGCTGTTACCTCCTCAAAAACATACCTGGAGTTGCATTTTGTTTCATTCACACATGTTTGAGTAACACTTTATTATTACGTCTGTATCTCCAAAGGTCCAAATGCTCTGTTCCACCTTGTGATGTCATGAAGCTGTACTTTTCAATAGCAAAAGAAAAATTCAATTATCTCAATTGGACAAAAATGTTTTTTTAGAGTGAAGACCTTTCGCTGCTCATCCAAGCAGCTTCTTCAGTTCAGTTAAGTTTTAGTTAAGTTAAGAATCTGTGAAGAATTTTTTCTATGGATCCCACCTGGATGACTATGGGATTACATAAGTTTCAAGTCAACACCTCCTTTTACTTTTTGTTCAGCAAAGATTGACAATTCCAGGATTGAAATCATCGAAATGTGTATGGAGTTTGGAGTACTTCCTGTATTACCACATGACATCACAGTGACATCACAATGTGGAACAGAGTGTTTTCAGTTTGAAAGAAGAAATTAATATGCAGGGTTTGTGTGTTGTGTGTGAATGAACGAAAACACATCTTCAGGTTTGTTTGTGATAATAAAATAAAACATTATTTTTCTCTTTCAGCCCAAGTTGTCCCTGGGCTGCTCCGAGTCACCAAACTGACGTTTTCTAATGAAATGAGCAACAGGTCCTCAAATGTTTTCCAAAGTACAGCAGGAGTGATTTCTGATGAGGTGAGCTCACAGTTTAATTGGAACATTTGTAAAAATAACATCTGTGATTTATTGTTGCTGTTTTATTCTCTCCAGCTTTTCAAGATTCTCAAAGGCCAGAAGGGTTACATTAGGTCAGACGTTATTAAGCTCACGTAAGTATGAAAGTCGTCATATTTAAATGTTACCCTATTTTCTGATCTTTGTTATAACGTTGTTTCCTTATCACAAAAATATCTGACGTTGTGTTTTGTTTCATTCACCCGTTGAACACACAAATCCTGCATATTTAGGCTAAATTATTTTATTAAACAGAAAACACTCTGCTCCACCTTGTGATCTCATATAGGAATACAGGAAATGCTCCACTCCATACACCTTCACTAGAATCATGTAGATGATTTAAACCCTGGAATTTCCAGTCTCTACTGAACAAAAAGTAAAAGGAGCTGTTAACTTGAAAACTACCCCTTCATGACATCACAAAGTGGAACAGAGCATTTTGACTTTTGGAGATGTAAACAAACGAATAAAGCAGAATAACTCAAACATGCGTGAATGAAACAAAAAACAACTCCAGATATGTTTTTGAGGAGGTAACAACATTCTAACATGGACCTTTAAACATCAAACCACATTAAACAGTAATCTGAAAATTAAATAAGAAACATAGAAGTGAACAGATTAGTTACAGATAGTTAAACTAGTTAAACTTATAACATTATATGCAGTTTGCTAATATAATGTCTTTCCATTTATATAGTTAATTTATTAATGTTTTCTTTTCTAAGATTTCCATGCATGCAGTCTACAAACCTTCATATGTTTCATATTTTGTTGCAAAGCTTTATGTAAATATAGTAGACTTGGACTGTTTTGTTTATGACACAGCTTTTTAATAGAATCATTTCATGCAAATACAAGATCCTTCATTTCATTGTCATTTATATTTACCCCGTTACAGGCCGGGAAGTGTCGTAGCAACTGTGGACAACATCTATGAGGACACCACTGTTACTGCAGCTGATGTCCAGAAGGCCATAGACCAAGCTATAAACTCATCAAACACTGGACTTCTGGTTGCAGCAACGTACAATGGTATTTCACTTTATGCAAAAAACTAGTCTTAAAAACATTTTTAAAGGGCCAAAATACTAGAAAGTCATAAAAGTTTTAAAGATGCCCTGCATAACTTTTTCGGTGGATTGTCTGCTAACTGCTCGTCTCCATGGAGATGTTATTGCTTTGCCTGGAATGTTCCCCGGTAGGACATTAAACATTTCCATGTAGCATTTATTCATTACAGGTGTTCCTGTTGCTCAAAAATACAGTAATTCCATCTGTGAATAGAGGCAACTCTCCACAGATCTGAACTGTAATGTAACATGCTGTTACCTGCTTGTCTCCCTTGTGATAGGTGGGTTTAATCTTTACTGTAGAACATTCTAGACAAAGCAACAACATTTCCATGGAGACAAGCATGTGGCAGAACCTTCTCTGGAAATGTTGAGCAGTGCACCTTTCAAGTGCATATGGGAGATTTCTATGATTCTCTAACTGTGACTTAATTTGGTGGGATTACAACTATTGTAAATATACTAAATATTCTCCCAGTGCAATGTCATCAATATGGCATCTCTAGAACAGGGGTCTCCAACCTTTTTCTCCAGTGAGCTACCTTTACGAAACAAAAATGCCAGAGAGCTACCAATTTCAGCAGTCACAAAGAAAGAAAAGAAAGAAACAAAGAACGAGTGAATATAAGAGCCACAGCCTTAGATGGGGAACAGTTAGATGCTTATAAAACATAAAGCATTATCCATTTATCGGTGCACCGAGTTAGATCAAAATAATACATTTGCAATGGTAATTAATTAAATTTAACTTATTATCCACAAGACATAGAATTCAGAAATCTTGGCGAGCTACTTGAAAGGGGTTGGAGAGCTCCCAAGCTACAGTTTGGAGACACCTGCTCTAAAATATAACTCCCGTATTTCCGTTTTATTTTTCAGTGTTTTAGTTTTTTCTTGATTTGTGTAAAACTATCATTTATATTCACAACAGGTATTATCCCCAAATTAAGTTAAAATTAGAGGCTCGTCAAAACCTGGCATACACACATTTATGATATTTTGGCAGTGATTAATGTTATTACAGTTTCAACTAATACAGCAAAATGTGAACGGCCACAATCTGTCTTTTTTTTTTTTTTTTTATTGTCACCATTTCAAATAATGGATTATATGGATTAATATTACTCGATTGACTAATAGTTTTCTGCATTGTTTTCTGTTGCTTTAGCTGGAGACCTGTGCCAGCCGGGCGTCCTCGTTCCCTGTGATCTCTCCACCACCTCCTGCGGTGTTGTGAATGACCAGCCCCAATGCACCTGCTTACGCGGCTACGTCACCCTCAACCAGCTCTACTCCAGCAACACCAGCTGCAAAGGTACAACAGGAAATATAATCTTGAGTCTTATCATTTAAAAGGCCCATATTACACTGTTTTCTCACCTGTTATATTGTTGTTTCCTCATCAAAAACATACCCATTCACTGTACATGATTAACACACAAATCCTGCATATTTAGGCTGAGTTCTCCTCTTAGTTAGAGCACACTCTGTTCCACCTTGTGATGCAATGTGGTAATACTGTACAGGAAACTCCATACACCTTCACTAGAATCATTTGGATAATTTCAGCCCTGGAGTTGCCAATCTCTAAAGAACAATAGGTAAAAGGTAGCTGTTAACTTAAAAAATACCGCTTCATGACATCACACAGTGGAACAGAGCATTTTGAGCTTTGGGGATGTAGACAGACTAATAACGCAGGATTACCCAATGAAACAAAACACAACTCTAGGTATGTTTTTGATGAGCTAACAACACTATAACATTGTTTAAAGCTCACAAGAGTCCATTTTGCGTTATATAGGGCCTTCAGACATAATGTTAAATGTACTGGTGTTCTGTTTATTGGACAATGGTTAGTTTTAACACAAAGAATTCATTTGTAGCAGATTTGAGGGAAACTGACTAAATATTACCACCAGCAATCTGGTTTACAACAAAAAAAATGCCTTTGACTCTAGAATTATTAGCTCTAGTTTGTTATAGCAGTAGTGACTATTCATGGGGTTCACCTCCCTGTTATACTGTTATACAATACTTTTTGGACTTGTCACCGTTGAATAGATAGGATATTGTTTTAAATTGTCAGCCCAAGAGCCCAAATTTTTCTTTATTCTTGCAAAAGATGTTTTTTTTTTTTTTTTTTTTTGCTTTGACAAAGCAATGACCATCCTCATTCTTACAAAAAGCCAGTTTTCTCTATTAATGACTATGTATTATACTTAATATCCACAATTAACAATTAACCTTCTAATAGTGACAAGTGACACCAGAATTTCTACTACTTCAACAAAAACCTGCATTTCAAATTTTAATAGTATTAGTTTTAGCTTTCCCCCATTAGTGGTGAATAGTTTTGGTTTACAGACTGTTATGATGCCATCCAAAACCCGGCAATTACAAAAGAACAGTCTAAAACAAGTCTTTAAATGGAACTATTTTACTACAGACCACAAGAAACCTTTAAAATCTTCTCTTGACGTCTTCTATTCTTTAATGCACTTTGTTACTTACTGTATATCGTCAAAGTCTTTTAAAGATGAAAGCTGGAGACCCCACTGAGTTTAAGTCCCATATCTTTTTAAAGGCGCAGTAACTCGATTTTCTTTGACTTGTCGTAACAGTTTTGTGTGAGAAAAAGGCGGTGAAGCAACAGGGAGTGAGCTGTGGACCGAGGTCGAGATCCCCGGCCTTTTCAGCTGTACGACCTTTGACCTTTTTATCATTTATCTCTCAAATTTATTTCGTTTTAATTCAGCCGTTTCCCTGGAGACATGTGGGGGAATCACAGTTGTTAAAGAGTGAAGCCATTGGACCAAACAGTAAAGAATAGTGCAGCAAGAGCCTATAATCACCATTTTCCCATGAACAGTATATAAAAGTGTATTATGAGCAGCTGAGGCTTGAGCTGCCAAAAAATCTACTCAAGAAAATTGTTACTTCAAAAGACGTCATACTTACTTCATACAATACTCCATACTTCAAATTAATACATGGATATTATAAATCTGTTTTTTTTATGATATTGGTTTAGTTAGTCACTAAGTTAATTAGTAAATGATGAGTAATCAGTCAAAAATATCGGAAAAATCCAAATGAAGGAAACCAAAACCACAAATCTTTGATGATTCTTTAAATACATTCAATACAAGTTAATGTGTTATTTTTCCTCTCAAAAGTAGTAGTAGTAGTTTTTAAATAAATGCAACAGAGTAAATATAGCTGACTGTCACTGGCCATTAGTCCATATACTTGAATTAAAGCTACAGTTTGTAACTTTTTAGCCAAAAAATAGACAAAACCAAAATCATAGTTTTCATTTGTCTTTATTTCACTGAAAAACATAGAAAACAAGTCCTGAATTTGAGCAGGCTTGCTTCTCCATAAACCTGACTCTTATTTGGCCTGGAAAATGGCCTCCTCCTGCTTGTTTCCAGTATTCCACATGGCATAAAAGTCTCTCTCACCATGGACTTTCACTTTCTATTTCCATGGAAAGAAACAGGTGACTTGCCACCTCCAGAAAGTTACATACTATACCTTTAAATGTCCTATATTACACAGAATTGACTCTTGTAATGTTATAATGCTGTTACCTCATCAAAATCAGACCTGGAGTTGTTTTTTGTTTCATTCACACGTTTGAGTAATACTTTATTATTAGTCTGTCTACATCTCCAATGCTAAAATGCTCTGTTCCACCTTGTGATGTTATGAAGCAATACTTTTCAAGTTAACAGCTCATTTTAGCTTTTGTTCAGTAGAGATTGGCAATTCCAGGGCTGAAATCATTCAAATGGTTCTAGTGAAGGTGTGTGGAGTGTAAAAACACAGTGGAGCACTTTCTCTATTACCGCATGACATCACAAGGTGGAACAGAGTGTTTTCAGTTTGAGAGAAGATAAAGAGCCTAAATATGCAGGGTTTGTGTGTTAAACATGTGAATGGAACAAAACACAACTCCAGGTATATTTGTGATGAAGAAACAACATTATAACATAGATCTGGAAATAGTGTAATATGGGCCTTTTAAAGTAAATCTTACAAATGTCAGTACTTCACCATCCGCATGAAGCCGTGTGAGTGTGTGCATTCAAACGTAAAATATGTCAATTTGAATAGATAACTGTGGCCTATGTTCTTCTTGTTTGGGGACTTTTCTAAATTTACATGTTTTCTGTGACTTCTTTGTAGCCTGTCCCAGTGGTCAAAGGGCAGTTGATGACACGTGTAAACCGTGAGTAGCTCATTTAAATTTTTTGCTAAAGTAATCTTAAATTTAGCAGGTACATGCAGAAGAAGTGAAGACCTACAATGAAAAAACTTTAATAAAGTACTTATTTTTTTGCAACCTGTTCTACTTTACCCAAACCAGATTTATTAACAAAATCACTACTACTACTTACAACCTACAACTTAAGACACATTGATTAAACTATAACTAATGTACTTAGGATTTTTTGTTTTAATCATTCACTTTCATTGACGAGTGCTAAAAAATCTGTTAACAATTTATAATTATTACAGTTTAATTAGCTGTAATAAAGCAAGAACAAATCCATAATGAAAATGAAAACAAGTTAAGTGTGTGGCTCCCCCAAGTGGTAGTGATCTAACAAAGCACTCTATGTTGTCTTTTTTTCTCTTTTCGCCTTCAGATGCCCCTTCGGTTATGCTGGCTTCAACTGCAATGACTGTAAGTTCAAATCTCACACATACATACATAGACCTGTCACGATAAATACTATATTGAGTTATCATTCAATATATGTTTGATGGAACAGTAATTTTTGAGGGTCAATATTTATCGTGGCACTTTTTCTTTGCAGTTGTTGGGGTCTTTTTGTTATTTTTCTTGCTCTTCAATGAGATTTGAGATGTAGAGAGTTGAATATGACTTCTCTGACCATTATAGATACAAATTAAGTAGTATTTTAACGTTTGTGTTTCTTAACCATGTTTTAAATCTTGTTTTCCGCGTAGTTCTACTTAAAGGTGCACTGTGTAACTTTTCAAATTGGAGGTCAACTACCGTGGAGATGCTATTACTTTGCCTGTAGTATTCCACAGTATGGTTTTAAACTTATATAAGACGCATTTATTCAATTAAGGGTGTTTATAGTGCTCAAAAATACCTGAAAAACATGCATTCTTACTGAGAGTGGGGTCGCCTCTTCACATATCTCACCTGTAAATTGGCCTGGTGGTATCTCCTGCTTATTTCTATGGAGATTGAAAAGTTTAATACCATACTTTGGAATATTGGTAACTGGCGGGACCTCCCACCAGAAGGTTACACAGTGCAATTTTAAGGGTTATTGTTTCAGTGGCATAAATAAGCTTGAATATTATCGCTTACTGTCTATATTTTCTTCAACGCTATATCACAGTTCAGAAGTTGTTGTCGTGACAGGCGTATGTACACAGGAACAGCAGTACTAATGCATTTCTATTGATCCGCTAAACCACGTTAATCTCTCTGCGCCCTCAGCTTCACTCTTGGCAGTGGTGGTGATCTCCTGTGTGTTAGGAGGGGTCCTGCTCTTATTGATCCTGGCTCTGCTGGCGTACTGCTGCTGGTGAGTTCTAGTCTTACTTTTAAAGTGCTTGTGACAGGTTGGACTGGTCATTTTACTCAAACACACTTAAGATCATTATGTTTAAGTTTTAGCTGAAAATGTTCATTCTTTTTCCTGGTTTTGGTAGTTTTTATAGGTTTCAGACTTCTCTCATGTACACTGAAATAATGATTTGGCAACTAAAATAAAAAGAAAACACCTTTATTTTGTTGTGATGCCACTTCCTGTAAACATGTTCTTTCATCTTTTCTTCACAAATTGCTTCTTGGTTGGGCTAAAACTATAATTTAGATTAACAACAGGTTTTATCCCACTTATTTAAGTCAAAATGACAGAATCATAAAAACCTGTCATAAGCACTTCAGTACTTCAGTGGTGTTTTTTCTTGGCTAATTATTCTGTGGTTTTGTTAAAATGTGTCAGGCTGAGCTTTGGAGGTCAAAGGTTAGTATAACTGATGTTTTTAGTGTCCAAACTTAAAGCTGCTCTATGTAACTTCTTTGGTGAGGGTCCGCTCCAAGTTGTCTCCATGGAGATGCCCTGACTGTTCAACCTCATGGCATTTAACATATCTAAGAGAGAGACAGATACTTTATTGATCCCAAGGGAATTCAATCTGTATTACATTTATTCAATTACAGATGTTTTTATTGCAAATATGTAAATAAAATACATTAAAACATACTTACTGTCAAGCGAAATGACTTGCATCTCCACAGAACTTACCTGTAACTAGCCTTGGTGGAGTGGCCTACTTTACTCAAGTTTTAAAGACATACTGTGTAACATTTCAGGCAGTAACATCTCCATGGAAACAAGCAGGTGGTGAACCCTTTATCGAAAAGTTACATTTAAGTTAGTTTATAAAGTTTGTAGTGATTTACTTCATTCTAGATAAGCAATAATTTAATAAACCATTTAAAAACCCATTAGACTACTACAACTACTACCACTACTAGTACTACTATTTACTGTTTTGAAGTAATGCTACCAATATGAAGCAAAAATGTACTCAAATAGCTAAACTGAAGTACTTACCTGATAATTACCCACCTACACTTAGTAGCTTAGTAGTGTTTGCATCTTCTATCTAGACTAAATAATTTTAAATGAATGTAAAATGTCTAAGTATCCTTAAGTATAAACAAATTTAATTAAATCTTCTTTATTTTGACATCAGGAAATGCTGCTGTTCTTCTAAGAGCGTACCCCACTTTGAAAGTCCGTACTCAGTCAGCAACACAAACCAGCCCTGGCCCACAGACATCACCCCCATCCCCAGAGCCACCACCCACTGGGAGCCCGGGCCTTCCATAGAGCTGACAGAAGGGACCAGCACGAGAACCCTGGTAGAGAAAAACAACCAAACCAACGGTCTGGTGAGTTGGGATATAGTTTCACTCAGATAGAAGTTTACAAGAGATGCCTTACTAAACCTGGGATACAGAATTGAAAGTTAGCATCCTACTAGTACTGTCCCATGTACTCACACTTTAGTTTGTGTATTTGGTATAGGTATTTGTATATTTTAGTATAGGCATTTGGTAAAGGCCGGTCCTTCCATAGAGCTGACAGAAGGGGGCAGCACTAGAGCCCTGGTAGACAAAACAACCAAACCAACAGTCTGGTGAGTTGTGGTATAGTTTCATTCAAATAGGTGAGGCAAGTTTATTTGTATAGCACAGTTCGTACACAAAGTAATTCAAAGTGCTTTACAGAATAAGAATTACATTCAAAGCACTCTGTTACTTTTCTGGTAGAGCGCTTGTCTCCATTGTGATGTTTTTGCTTTGCTTATAATGCTCTAAAGTATGGCATCAAACATCTTTTTTTTCCTTTTGTTCATTTACACTGTGAGCATAGCCGCCTATCCACAGATCTGACCAGGCTATAAAATGCTCTGGATGTCACCATGGAAATTAATAAGTTTAATGCCATTATTTGGAACATTTCAGGCAAAGCAATAAATTTTGATGAGACAAGCAGGTGATGGAGCCTCTGCTATAAAACCTACATCATACACCTAATTTGTATTCTTGCAAGACTATTCATTCAGATAAAGGACCCATATTACACTATGTTATGATCAATGTTATAATGTTGTTTCCTCATCAAAAACATATCTGAAGTTGTGTTTTGTTTCATTCACACATGTTTAACACACAAACCCTGCATATTTAGACTGAGTTCTTCTCTCAAACAGAAAACACTTTTCATGTGGTAATACAAGAAGTGCTCCACTGTGTTTTTTAAATTCCATGCAACTTCACTAGAATCATTTGGATGATTTCAGCCCTGGAATTGCCGCTCTGTAGTGAACAAAAGGTAAAAGGTAGCTGTTAACTTGAAAACTACCCCTTTATAGAGCATTTTGAGCTTTGGAGACGTAGACAGACTAATAACGCAGGGTTACTCAAACATGTGTGAATGAAACAAAACAGAAGTCTGGGTATGTTTTTGAGACAACAACATTATAACATTATAACATGGCTTAAAGCTCATAAGAGTAAAGTTAGTGAAATATGGTAACTTTTATTTACTTTGTTTTCCCCAAAATCTACAATAATTAACTAATACTGTACTAACTAAACTAATATTACAATGGAATGAACCCAATCATATCCGTGCTTTGTGTTCCAGTGATGTGTTATGTAACTTTTGACTTGTGCGTAGTAGTCCCTGAACCCAATCATACTAACATTTGTAGTACAGCTACTAGCTAACAGCCCCTCCCCCCATGCCCCCTGCTTGGCCTGACTCCCAGTGTTGCTTTATTGATTTCAGCTAAACCCCAAAGGATGGAGAAAGGTAAGGCTCAGCTTTGCTTTGAGACTTTTGATTTGCCTTGGCACCCCCTGCTGGTACATTTAGACATGACATGTAATTTGGACCTGGGGTTTCTTGGTGACAGCAAACCTTTTATGTGTTTTTCTTTTTTTTTTTCTATTCTGTTTGAACTTTGGTTTATTTCTACTGTGTGAGAATAAAGCAATCCGGTAAAGGTGGATTTTCCAGATTAAATTGTGGGTTAATTTTTTGCTGTTTTAAAGAGGTTTGCATGGGTTTTTTGTTTGTTTGTTTGTTTGTTTTTTGAGCAAATGCATAATAAGATACAGTCGACATTTATAACTTTGTTTCTTTCTAGACGGGTTCCTACGATCTTGAGTCTGGAGATATGAAGACTTTTAAAGGCAAAAATACTTCACGGTACTCGTATCTAGTCCAAGGACACGCAAACCCGTACTTTCTACCAGGAGATGAGTCTAAAAAGTAAACTTACATGGATTGTATCATAAGACCTGCCAATCAAAAAGGATCACTATGAACTTATAGCCTCATCTTCCTCGCAAGATTTATTTTTTTTATTTATTACACATTTTATGTTTAAAAATAAGAAATTTGCATATGGACTTTGAGCTGACATCTTATACCAGAGAGATTAATTTATGCTATATTGTTACTGTACATTGATCAAATATAACAATATGAATTTTCCCTGAATTGTGGCCATGTAGTTGAAGTTATCGGGAATATTCCACATTATGGCATTAAACTGGTTTATTTTGCTTAGTTTTAATTACTTGTAATTACTTGTGTTTTATTGTTCAAAAATACAGTGAAAAAATATAGGCTTGTTGTGATTGGAGTAACTCATAACTTGTACTGGGGGGCATCACTTGCTTGTTTCCATGGCTATATAAGTTTAATACCGTCCTACTGACGAACATTCCAGCCAGATCTCCGTGGAGACAAGCACATAGCAGACCATCCACGAGAAAGGTTACATAGTTCGCCTTTAAAATGGAATTGTTTGGTTTTGTCTCTTGTCTGCATAGAAAACAAAACAACACCAAAAAAATAATAATACATATATAAACAAATACTTAAATACATAGAATTGTTCATTATAATGGCTCTGTAGTGAAAATTGTGTTTGTTTTATATTTATAGATGGGCTATTTTGTGTCTTGGGTGGTCATATTGTTTTACTTGATCTGTGTACAGTAAACAAGTCATGTTTTTGCAATTTATGATGTCTTTAGGCTGAATGTTGCTGTTTTTACCACTAGATGTCACTGTAGCTCACTCTGATTTTCTAATTAAGCTAGTCCTTTTTTATACTACAATCATGAGAGTTTTTAAATAGGTATTTTTTAAAATTATTGCACTAAAGTGTGTCCAAAGTTTACTTCATCACTGTCTAAAGCTCTCTCAAATGCAAAGTGAAAATTGTTGTTATAGAGCTATGAGTATTTTCATAATTATTTTTATTGAATGACTACAGGGGCTGGATCCCTTGTTGGGGCTGTTAAAGGGATTGAAGTGAAATGTTACAGAATTTCAAAAGAAGCCTACTGTGTGTCCACATGTGCCAATGATACTTGTACATTCATTTTCTTTGTGTTTATGCTCATGATGAAATGTTTTTGTAAATAAGATTAAATAACTATGGATATGTGTGTGTCAAATAAAAGCAATAAATGAAAACTATAAGATCATGTTTTTTGTATTTGTATGCTTTTATTTTGTATAAAAATAGTAAATAGTATTGTTTTGTATTTTATTTCATTTATTTTATTCATAATTTTGTATGAATTTATTTTCAGATCAAGTTATTAAGTTAAAGCAATGTACAGAAAAGGTAGTTTTAATATAATTACACACGATACACGTAATTTAATATGTTACTGAAATTGCAAAGCAGTATGAGGTATATCTTTCACTTAGCTGGTAGCTGGTTCAAACACAAGTTTACTTTGTCTCTGATTGGAAGGGCATCCAGTGTAAAAAAAAAAATTAAATGGCAAAAAAAAACAAAAACTCATGTGCCTGTTAACTAAAACATCAATGGATGGGTTTTGTTTCATCGCATCCTAAAGTTTCAATTTACTTTTTCCTGGAGCATACGCTTCTCTCTCTCTTGTTCTCTCCACGCTCTCTCTCTTCTCTTCCCCCCTCCTTCTTTCCCTTTTTCTCTTTCTTCTCTCTCTTCTCCCCTTTCCTCTTCCTCTCTGTCTCTGCCTCTCTCTCTCCCTACCCCATTCTTTCACCCCTCCCACTCTCCCACTACTCTTTTTTTCTCTCTCTCTCTTCTCTCTCTTCTCTCCCCTTCCCTCTCTCTATCTCTCTCCCCCTCCCTGTGCGTCCTCCTCTCTCATCACTATTAGGCTGAGTCTTGGCTGTATACCTCCTGTAATCATGTCTCCTTACGTTTGGAGGAGCAGTTGTCTTCAAAGCAGATTTCGTTTGGTTAAACCGGCTTTGCCCGGGTTTAATCTTGGGCACTGGGTCACTGCAGAGTGGCACACGCAGCTTCAAACACTTTCTCTGCTGCCAACATTAGTTTTTTAGCTGGTAGTGACTTGAGTAAATTTGCCATCTGCCAATGGAACAGGAGTTTTTGCACTTAACATATGAAAATACATCTTGTTACAACTAAAATAAGAAAAACAACAACTCTCTTAAAATAAGAAACAAAACCGAATGTTTCTTGAATTAAAAACAAACATACAAACAAACAAACCACATTTATTCCACTGGTAGATCAGTTTAACTAAAAATCAGAAAAATAAAAGGAATCTGACACAACACCATTTTGCAAACTTAGCAGAATTTATTATGTAGTAACACTAGAGGAAAAAATACCTCTCTCTCTCTCTCACACTCTTCTCTCTCTCTCTCTGTGTCTCTCTCTCACTCTGTCTCTCTCTTTCTCTTTCTGTCTCTCTCTCTCACACTCTTGTCTCTCTCTTTGTCTCATTCTCTCTCTCTGTTTCTCTGTCTCCTTCTCTGTGACTCTCTCTCTCTTTCTCTCTCTCTCACTCTTGTCTCTATCTCTGTCTCTTTCTATCTCTCTATCTCTTTCTCTATCTCTCTGTCTCTCTCGCTCTCATCTCTCTCTATCTCTCTGTCTCTCTCTCTCTTTTTCTCTCTCTATCTCTCTGTCTCTCTCTCTCTGTCTGTCTCTCTTTTTTTCAGTTTCTCTCACTCTGTCTCTGTCTCTCTCTCTCTGTCTTATTATAACAAAGCCGTACACTACTGTAAGTGCACTGAACAAAGAGCAGCTAAACACTTAGCAAAAATTTATAGGAGGATAAAAATACCAAAAAATATACATCATTTTTGTTTGATAATGCATAAGTTTAGTTCTATTTTAATACTTAGCCCACTCTAGAGCAGTATTTCCCAATCAGAGGTACGAGGAATATTCTTTTTAGTACATTTTGGTAGAATAATTGTGACGTAAATGTTATTAAAACAAGAAAATATAATAGTTATGATTGACAATGTACTAGGAAACAGATTTATAACTAGTAAAGAGACACTACGAAGAAAGAAACACTGCGAGTACTCAAAGGGAACCTCTGCTCTCTACCCTCTAAACCTCTTTGAGTTGTAGTCTCACCAAATGCTTGATAATTTTATGGGGTGACAATAGAAATTATTAGTGATTCTATGACAAAATCTCTGGTCAAATGCTCTGTCCGCTGCAGCGTATACATCTCCTTACTGTAGACTGATGGAGCTTTAATGGCAGGTCTCTCCATCGCAGTCATTTGAGACGCTGCTGTGGGAATGGACCAGGAATCCAATAAGCATCGAACCACAGACACAGGACAGAGCAGAGTCCTGTGCTCTACCAGAGAGGAGAGGAAAAGACATCAGCCATTCAATTCTGCCGATACTGCACCGAAAGCTGTATACAATTGGTTTAGTATTAGCCTGGATTAGTATTGTTGATCTTTCTTTAGTCCTAATCCTGGTTTAACTCTACCCTAAATCAAGTTTACTTCTTTTATAAGACTGGGTTAGTACAACAGTACAACAAACAATAGAAAACTGAAACTATATCAGGCTAAACTAGGACTTAAGCAGGAACTAAATCAGTATTAGACCAAGACTAAACCAGGACTTGATCAGAGACTAAATTTGGAATAGACCAAGAGTAGACCAGAAACGTAATCTGGGCTGGACCAAAATTAAACTAGGATTAGACCAGGGCCAAACCAAGTGTAAATCAGGACTAAACTAGGACAAGCAGAAAATCAAAGCACTCTTAAAGTACACTAGTTTCATTTTGACGTGTTGTGGTGATTGGCTGGGATTAGGGTGACCACCTGACCCTCTTTTGATTGTCGTGCACAATAATTTATTTATTTATTTAATAGGGACTGTGCATATTAATGAACATCTATAACACTGAAGTGTAAATATGCCAATTTGCCAGTAGGTGAGACCACAAACAAAACAAAAACACAACAAAAACAGTAAGAATTGACAGTTTACACTACAAGTGTCACAAGTCTGGTTTTCCTTTAGCCACTGTTTCAAGTGGGATTTAAAAGTGGCCAGTGTTGGAGTCTCTCTTGATGAGAATGGAAGACTATTCCAAAACTTAGGCCCCTGTCCCTCATATCACTTATGCAGAGAATTTTCATTGATGCATCATGAATAGAAAGTGAGAGACTGCAAAGAAATCAAGAATTTGTAGGAGTATTGAGTGTTACATCTGATAAAAACAAAAAAAATCATATGATGTTATTACATTATTTTAAAGGACCTACATTAGACAAAATGGATTCTTGTGATCTTTAACCTAACCTAAGTTGTGTTTTGTTTCATTCACACATGTTTTAATGACCCTTTATTATTCGTCTTTCTCCATCTCCCAAGCTCAGAATGCTCAGTTCCCCCTTGCGAAGCAGTAGTTTTCAAGTCAATAGCGATGTTTTATCTTTAGTTCAGTACAGATCGGCAGTTCCAGGGCTGAAATCATCCAAATTACTCTATTAAAGGTGTGTGGAGTTTAAAAACACAGTGGAGCACTTCCCGTATTACCATGTGACATCACAAATTGGAACTTAGTGTAGTTCAGTTTGAGAAAAGAACTCCTAAATATGCAGGGTTGGCAACTTCAAGAATGTTTTTGATGAGGAAACATTATAACAGATCTGAAAACAGTGTAATCTGGGCTCTTTATGACAAATTCTGAGATGTTGAGGGAGAAGCTTTTTAGTAGAACATAATATGATCTTAAATTACACTTTATATAACAGCACATCTCTCTTTTGCTACAATTTCAGGTGGTCTACTTAGCTGTGGTTGTCCTCAGATACCCCCCTCTCCCTCTCCCTCTCCCTCTCCCTCCCTCCTTCACCCAAACCCTCTGGGACTGAGTTCAAACGGTCCATCTCTCCTCTCTGGGTCTCGTCTCTCCTCTCCTGATCCTGTCTTTGCCCTGTGAAGTGTAACTACACACAGACAGCATCTTAACATCCCCGGACAGCCCTGCGCCCCTCCTCACCGCTCTCATCCTCCTCTTTCTCCTCTTTCTCATGCTAATCACAGAACAGCCCCATCTGCTCCGGGACCTCTCTCCTCCCTCTCTTTGTGTTCACTCGGCTACAGAAACAATAAAACGATCGGAGTGTCCAAACAGAACTCAGTGCGTTCAAATGGGCAGCATATGGTCTGTGTGGTAATTACAGTCCACCGTAAAACACGATTTATCCAGTAACGTGTTTGACTGATCTGGTAATACCTCAGACTGTGTTCATGCATTTTAGACTTTAAAGCACATGTAAAGATACACTGTGTAACCTTTCTGGTGAACAATACATCTCAGACAGTATGGCATTCAACATATTTATCTCCTAGACAAGCAGGTGATGCCTTCTGGTCAAGTTACAGGTCGGATCTGTGGAGAGACGAGACCAATCACAGTAAAAATGCGAAAGTCTATTGAATCTCTAACAATAAAAAACATCTGTAATCCAATAATGCAAGACTGACTGACTGATAGTTATTGTCAAACAGTTCAAAAATTCCAGGAGTAGCAAAAACACCTCCATAGTTACAAGCAGCGGTGGAGACTTGCAAGTCGTGACATGGACCGAGTCAGATTTGAGTCACTATTTTTAGGACTTGAGACTTGATTTGTTAAAAGGGACTAACACGTGTTACTCAACTTGGACTTGACTTGGGACTTGACTCTGACTTGAGCTCTGGGACTTGAAAAGACTTGAGATGCTTCTCCTGAAAAAATGTTTTTAGAAAATACTTTTCTCTGTACAGTTGCTAAATGTGGTGCTTAATTTTACAGCTGGAACATGTCCGTCCCACTTCTGTTTGTTACTTTGGATGGAACTGAAGTACTGTGATGTGATATCCTCAAATGTACTGCAGCAATATGCAGTACAATACAGTAACAGAGGGAACTACATAGAACACGATCCTTCCATTTCAGTACAGACTATACATGACAAAATTACTGTTAACTAATAACTTCAGCACTTTTAACTCTGAATTCTTTCTATTCTGACCGTAATGATTCACACTAAAATCTTGGCAAGACATTTAAAAAGGAAAAAGTAGCATTTCTACAACTCATATAAATACTCATATAAAAATATACCACGACTTTTTAAGTACAATTTAGTTTAAAATTCAGATAAATGTCAAAAGTCTAAGCTATATTTGGTACTTTGGTTTAA